ATGTGAGGCGCTGTGGCCCAGGGGGCCGCGCTGTGCATATGTGAGGCGCTGTTCCCCAGGGGGGAGGCGGTGTGCCGTGTGTGCGCAATAGTCCATGCTAACTGACCTGGTCACTGAATACAATCACTATACTGTAATAATGATGTACAAAGTAAAAGTAGCTCTGGTGCTCATTTGGTTCATCAAATACATTGAGGGGAATTTATCAAAACTGGAGCATGGCAACCAATAGGCTTCTCTTTAATTTTCAAAGCTTAACTGAACAAACCGAAGGGAGAAGCTGATTGGTTACTATGGGCAACTATTCCGGATTCTGCCTGCTCCAGTTTTGGTAAATTCCTCTGTTCACACATTTCAGGCATGGAGCCATAGAAAAAGTAAGGTTTCATAATTAGAAGTACAGCAAAAATTGCATCGTTTGGGGGATTAAAGTTTTCTGCAATACTTCACCCTCCTCTGTGATAGGCCCTACTTTGTCCTAATTTCCAAATCTGATAAAGATCCACTGTACTGCGACTCCTTTTAGACCCATATCAATAATTACCATGAATGTAAAAATTCTGGCTAAAATCCTGGCTAGACGGTTGCATTCAGTTATTTCCAGGTTTATAGGCTTTGACCAAACTGGGTTTATCCGAGGAAGCTCCACAAACATAAACATTCAGACATTTCACTAACCTTCAGATCCCATCCTCTCCATCCAGGGCTGTCCTGGATTTGGATACCCACAAAGCCTTTGACTCTATTGAATAGCCTTTGTATGATCCAGGTACTGCGGAGGTTTGGATTTAGTGATATTTTGGGTACATATTGTATACAACCAGCCTGCTGCCCGTATTTTTTTTTTTCCCCCCGCTCGATGTTGGTTCTGACTTTGACCTCTACACTTGTTGCCCAGTACAACACGCCAACAAATTAAAATATCTGGGTATAGTAGTTGCATTGCTCTTATCAAAGTACTTTGACAATACTCATACCCCAATTATTGCAGCATTTAAACATAAGCAGTCTGCCTAGATCAATCTCCCCCTTACACTGTTGGGAAGAATAAGGTCTTTAAAGTGGTTACTCCTAAATTCCTGTATTTATATTTTTCGTGTGTGATTCCTCACCCCTGGCTGCTGTAGAGTGTTTGTATGACGCTCAATAGTCTGTCACCACAGTTAGAAATTTCTATTGGATAAATATGTGATCTGCTCGGCTACTAATTGCACTTCCAGCAAAGGTATTTTTAGGATCAAACAGAGGCCAAAATCCCAGTGATCATTCTGCATTGTGTATTCCCATTACACTCGGCTCTTTCTCAGAATTCATCCCATCTGGCATGATTGGTATCTGGCCCAGTTAAAATGTATTTAGACTTGACTGTCTGTGAGAATTTCTCACCTCCTGACATAGCTGGAACAGTCTGGCTAAGTCTTGCAGGAAACCTGTTATAAGAGAAATGACAGCCAGATGACCAGCAGTGTTGGGAGGAGATGTCAGTAACAACGTCCTCCTTGTTATCTTTCATGTGTACCCAGTGTACCTACTCTAGGGTGGCAGAGGGTGTGCTTCATTTTACTCTTCTTGCTACCCTTAGGGCTCATGTTCTGGGGCTGTGCTTGACTTGCTTTGCTTTTGGTTGCCTCAGTTTGGGTACAGCAGATGAGATGCATTTGCCTTGTAGGCAAAGCAGGTGAGACGCAGCCTTTTGTTGCGTTTTACCAGTGCTGCGTTAAAATCTAAAAGGCAGCATTCAACAATGCCTGTCTACATGAGTCCTTCTCCTGGTTGGCCTTGATACAGGATGTTGTGCAAGAAAACTGGGCTTGCCTCTGTCTGTCTTTTGTATACTCCAGACATGCTAGTAATCCAAGCTCCAAATGCATGTGTTCCTGATCCACATCTTTCTCAGCGCAATCTGTGCTGTCAAACTAGTTTGAGAAAAACTAGGCTTGGGAAAGTATTGATCTACATTAATGCTATACAAATAGTTGGCTTGCATGTCTAATCTTGTATGCATGTTGCAGTGTGACATGCGAACACATCTAATCTTATGTTCAGCGTACATCCCATACACACTTTTGTTAGAGAATAAAAGGTGTTTTTCTGGTATTTTGGTTACCTCAAAGGCCTCTACTTTAAAGCCGTGGTTCTCAACCTGTGTAACCTCAGGACCCACATTTGTCCTTGGTCACCAAGTTGCGACCCAAGTCGCTTTGCATTGGAACGCACAGCAATGCGGTACTGCGTGTTCTGGTGCGGGCAAATGAACTGTGGGCGGGAGGTGCATTTGGGGTGCCATTGAAATTAATTGGAACGCAACACACCTCCCCAGCCAGAATGCATAGTGGGTGCGATTGCATGGTACAGTGCATTAATTGTTCAAGATTGTATGTGTTAACGGGCATTCAAAAACAGTAAAGGTGCCCACACACCTTGCGATAATCGTACGATAATCACAGGAAATCCCACGATCGTACGATTATTGCAAGGTTTGTGGAAGGTGGGTTCTCGGCGGGTTTTCGAACATGTTCCTGAAATAAGTCGTGTGACCGTACAGTAGAAACGGTTGCACGACTTTTATCTTGGGAACATGTTCGAAAACCCACCGAGAATCGTATGATTGTCGGCGGGTGTGTGGCATGTTCGTAAGATAAATGCCGCACGGGCCGGTGTGTGCAAACGCACACTGCCCGTTCAGCATTGCTGTCATCGGCGGGGCGGGCTTGCTATTGTCCCAAGTACGATCCGCCTGTCAAAAGATAGGCAGATCGTACATTTTTTAAAATTACCTTACAACCATCGCAAGACAAAAGTCTTGCGATGGTTGTAAGGTCTGTGGCCAGCATTACACACACTCACACACACTCACACACTCACACACACTCACACACACTCACACACTCACACACACTCACACACTCACACACACTCACACTACGGTTGCACGACTTTTATCTTGGGAACATGTTCGAAAACCCACCGAGAATCGTATGATTGTCGGCGGGTGTGTGGCATGTTCGTAAGATAAATGCCGCACGGGCCGGTGTGTGCAAACGCACACTGCCCGTTCAGCATTGCTGTCATCGGCGGGGCGGGCTTGCTATTGTCCCAAGTACGATCCGCCTGTCAAAAGATAGGCAGATCGTACATTTTTTAAAATTACCTTACAACCATCGCAAGACAAAAGTCTTGCGATGGTTGTAAGGTCTGTGGCCAGCATTACACACACTCACACACACTCACACACTCACACACACTCACACACACTCACACACTCACACACACTCACACACTCACACACACTCACACACTCACACACTCACACACTCACACACTCACACACTCACACTCTCACACTCTCACACTCTCACACTCTCACACTCTCACACTCTCACACTCTCTCACTCTCTCACTCTCTCACTCACTCACTCCAAAAAAATAATGTTTTAAGATCCTCCCAATCTTCCCACCTTACGAGAACTGTAGAGGATTTTCAGCCTTGGATCCAGTATGGGCTGCTGTGCTGTGATGGAGCTCCATCCATATGTACATTGCTTGTACAACCCCTTTGCGTGCCCTGTAGAGATGCCAGGAACCAGAACGTGATGTCTCTCTGGTCCAGGCACCTCTACAGGACATGTGAAGAATCTGTAAGCAATGCACTTATGGATGGAGCTCCCTCACGGCCATAGCCCCACCCCACTCCAGCAACACTCGGCACCGTGCAGCGTGAGAACTGACAGTGCTGCGCTTGGAGGAGGCTGATAAAAGTGGAAGGCACACCTCGACCCACTTTTGGCTCACAACCCACCAGTTGAGATTCAATGGTCACTATTCATAAGAGGTCATACTTTCCTATAACACCCTGTGGCAGAAATCTTCAGAGGGTTACCAGCACAAGTACACTGCAGCATGATAGGCTTACTATTTGAATAAACAGACACACATGTGAGGATACCACTGAACATAAAGGTAGGTCGTACAGAGTTTTGGTAAATATTGCCTATTATAAATGCTCTGTGGAAAGGGATGGGTGATACATTTGTCACAGTCTGGACCCCATGGATCCAATACTCCCATGCCTTACACTCATCCCAATGCTTTACTACTTTATCAGGCTTCTGTTATACTGGGGGGCTTAAAGAGAACTCCAACTTCTTTCTCTTTTCTGTCTTCATTTCCTTTCTGCAGATTTTTTCATTTTGGACCATGTAACTTTTTTTCTCTGATGCTCTTATTTATATTTTCTTATAAGAAACTTATAACATAAGTCTTAAAAAGATAGCCCGGAGCTATTGTCCTTAATGCGCCTGTGGTATTGTCTGTGGTTTATAGAGATGGAAGTTCTCCATGTTCACTAATACTGATGTCTCATATGGTCCTGTATTGAGTAGAGGTGCACCGAAATGAACATTTCAAAACCGAAATAAAAAAAATCAGGTCAAAACGGAAAATGTTTTTATTCATTTTGCATTTTGTTTTTTTATATTTTATTTTAATTTTTTTAAAAACTTAAATTTTTTATATTCATGTTTTAATTTAAATTTTTGTAAATGTAATTTTAGGGACTTTGGGGAAATATTGGGGGTCTAAACAGACCCCTGATATTTCCCTTTTTAAAATGGAAAAAGAGAACGGATGCACCGCTGTATCCGACCGGAAAATTGCACTTTCGGCATTATGCCAAAAGTGCCACTTTTGGCCGATATATCGGAGCATCCCTGTTATTGAGTATGTTCATTGCAAGACAGTCAAATGTTAATATATACCTGCGAATCTCTGTAGCTTTTGTTAAATGTTTATCTTTCAATAGATTTTTATTGAATATTTAGAGTGGCAGAGGAGTGGTAGTTTTCTCATACCTGCCTGTAGGGTTTCAAGCTGAATCTGGTGGTAATAGTAAAATTCTATGCCTGTCATCTTTTGTCTCCAGCAGCGGCTGTCAGATACCGGTCACTACCCAAGTTGTGGGTTGCTGCTATGAAGAGTAGTTCAGAATAAGAAGCAGAGTGACTATTTATGTAGATGACCAGAGAATTCTGCTATACAGGTATGCAAGTACAAATCTCATTTAGTTCACTAATTTTGTATTGAGATTCTAGTCTATCACGGGAGAGATCTTGGATCTGTGCCTACCTTACAACACTCACAGGACCTTGGGGAAGAAAATGTCGCCATGCTCCAGAAGGAACAGGGTCAGTATGACTATTTCAGAGACTATTTGAGGATCTACAGCCTAGTGATACACAAATAAGATACATTTTTGTTATTAGTACTTGAATGCATCAAGATTTAACTCCTGATTTTAGTGTCACTTTAATCCTGGGTGCTCACGAAGGAGTCCAAAATGTAGAGATAAGCACTCAGGAATTATGCATTAGGAACTTCCACTTTGTGACCAGCCTTGATGTAGATGAGCCATGCCCCCTCTTCCCTGCCGAGACATCAGTTGCGGAATAAAGCTTCCTAATGCACAAAATTTTCCTTTTTAATCTTTCATCGTTTTCCTCACAGATTTAAATATTTTCAAGCAAATTTCAACGTGTCTGAATGACTGAGCTATCAGCATCTTTAACTCAGGTCCAGCAAGGACAAGTGCAAGAAGACTTCATTGAAAGCCACACTGCCAACATGGTATGTAGTTCAAAAGCAGGCGCTCATGGGGCCGCCTCTAATGGGCACACAAGGTAAAGGGGAAATCGAAAACCCCTTTTTTTTTTTTGCATAGCATTAAGAATTAGCGACTCTGTTTAGATTTATTGTAATCTCCTTCATCCCATATGTAAGCCCAAATATAACCGTGTAAAGGGAAATATTGGTCAACCCACGCTGATAAAAATATGGCGGCTGCTATTTCTAGCTCCTTAAAAAGCTAGTTTTCTGGTTGTGATCCAGTGGCTTCAAATTCTTTTAGTCGCTGACCTCTGCATATGCAGATCAGTAGGTCTGACTTAACTGACTGTATGCATGTTCCACGTTCAGGGAATTGGAAACCATACTGTATAAATGCCAAAAATAAATATGATTTATTTATTGCAAGCAACAGCTAGTTCTATGCCCTCTGTCTGCCTTATTTGGGCACAACTTCTAGAGTTGAACTCCTCGATAATTGAAACATCACATGAGAAAGTATCAGTAAATATGTTCACAATCCTAAATGAACAGGAAATGATGTAAAGCATCTCCTGTTCATGCAACTGGGGACACCTTAAAGTGACATTAAACCCTCAGATTTTTTAACATAAACCAATACTGTAATGTGTGCCTTACTGTAATCCATGGTAGTTTCCCTTCTCTTTGCTGCTCTTCCTTTTAAATCCTCATGTCTTCTCATGCTTGGGGGAGAACTTCCCTTTGCAGCTGAGTGCCTCTTCCTGTAGTGCTGGCTCAGGTTGCAAACCTACACACAGACACCATGTATCCATTTCAGAGACAAGGCAGTCTGCTGCAAAACAGAAGTTCTGCCGAGCATGAGAAGAGATACAGATTTAAAATGAAGAGAAGGGAAACAACCATGGATTACAGTAAGGCGCACATTACAGTATCGTTTTATGTTAAATCTGAGGGTTTAATGTCACTTTAACTTCTTAATGACCTGAAGCTTTTTTTTAGTTTTTGTTAATGACTTTGCTGTGTGATTCTTCCACAGCAGTAATAGGCAACCACACATTTATATATTGTTTTTTTTTAGAGGACAGATAGGCACACCTATGTAATATAATCATATAGCCCCAACGCCTCACTTAGGATGAATAAAATAAAAAAACTGAGGAAAAAAACGTAAAGAAAACACTTTTTGTTTTCCCCAGTTTTGACGATTTTTTTAGAAAATAGCACAGCTAAATGCATTCAAATTAATTTTATTTATCTTTATTTGGAAACACCACACATCCCTCCGTTTTTTTAGACTTTTTTTTTTTTTGTACTTCTCGGCCTTAAACGAAAAATGTACATTTTATTTTTTTTCTCTAAAAGCGAATAGTGGTTAGGTGGCATACAATGTCATGAAGTGTCACACTTCGTGACAGTGACATACTTTGAACATCGCTGTCATGAGGGGGTTAAATAAAAAAAAAATTAATCCCTTAGGGTGAAAAACAAATCTGCAGCTCAGCTGCATATTTTTATTGTAAGGGTTTAATTGTTCTTATAGTATAAAATCTATCCGTATATATCATTTTTTTTTTACACTTTTTTGTTTGTCAATTATATCAAGCAGTCACTATTACTGCTTGATTTATTTATTTTCTTTTAATTTTTGATTTATTATTATTATTATTAGACTCCTCCAAATCTAGGAACATAAGAACAGCCAATAATAACCTTAGTGACACTGAGCCTTATATGCTGATTCTGCTTTTCTTTCAGTATTCGAGCATCCATTAATGAATGGTAGCCACTGATCTCAGCGGTTACTGGCTTTTGACGGCTTCAAATAGCTGATCACATACAGTGTGCATGATCTGTCATTTGGGCAGTTCATGATGGGGGATGTACAGTGTATGTCTTCAATCATGAAGGGGTTAAGCTTACTATGTCAGTTTTTTACAAACACTCAGTGATCAGTACTGAATGCTGAGTGTTTGTGCTCTCCATCCTGACTGCTCTGCCTGTCGCAGGAGGCCAAGCTCTCCTCCCACACCCCCCCTGTCAGCCACCTCCTCACCCCTGGACACTGACGGCTGGATCAGCTCGGTCTCTCCTCCAATCCCCTGTGCCTACACAGGCCTGGGAGAGCAGTGTGGATCGGAGGAGAGAAGCTAGGGATGCACCACACTTTCGGCCGTTTTGGTACGATCAGCATTTTGCCCATAGTACCATTTTCGGCATTCCTACTAAAGATGTTAAAAAATACCTTTTATTTTGCAAAAGCATTTGCTACAGTACCTCCATAAATGTTTAATTTACAAGCTTCATTCCTTGGGCAATGATAAAATGGTGTGTACTTGGATAGAGAACTGGCTAAGTGAATGTGTCCAGGGAGTATTGATAAATAGCTCATTTTCCAAATGGTCCTTGGTTGGCAGTGGTGTTCCCCAGGGTTCTGTCCTGCGGCCATTGCTGTTCAACCTATTTCTCAATGATATTGGGACTAATATTAAAGGGGAACTATGGGGTCAGTGTTTTTCCCCATAGTTCTCTTTAGGGTAACGGGAGGACACAAACTAGCGTCCTCCCGTTACCCTAAGCTCAGTATACCGCGAGCTACAGCTCGCGGTATACTGAGACGCCGGAGCGGATCCCGACGTAAATGACGGGATCCGCCCAGCTGCGTGAGTGACAGCTGGCTCTGCCTATCTAGAGGCAGAGCCAGCTGTACCCGCCCCCGTCCGTTCCGCCAGTCAGAGCTGGCAGATCGGAGCGGGGAATCCAGCCCCTCCCCCTGTCACGGCAGAGAGCCGTGACCGGATCGAGAGGTGAGCGAACCTGGTATGTGTTTGCTCACCTCCCGATATACTGAGCCGACCTGTGACAGTCTCATTGTCACAGGTCGGCTAGAACTATGAGGTGAGTGGAAATCACTCATCTCATAGTTCTCCTTTTTAATAGCAATATTTCAGTTTTTCCTGATACTAAAATGTATAGCGTAATAAAACTCGATAAAAGGCATAGCAATACTTCAGGAAGATCTGGATAAAATTGGGAAGTGGGCATGTATATGGTAGATTAAATCTATTATCTGGAAGTGTAATGTTATGTGTTTCGGAATTAAATATACACATGCAAACTACTCACTAATGGATGTTCCACTGGGGGAATCTGAGGTAGAAAAAGATTTGGGAGTCCTATTGGACAGTCGCCTTAGTAACAGCATGCAATGCCAGGCTGCAGCAGATAAGGCGAGCAGGGTACTATAATGCATAAAAAGGGAATATGCTGTAAAGACCAATCCAATATTCTGCCCCTGCACAAAACACCGGTCCCTCCACATCTTGAGTATGTGGCTCAGTTTTAGTCCAATCCACAGAAGGAATGTTCTTGAGCTAGAGAGTCCAGAGAAGGGTGACAAAGCTAATAGGTTAGAGCAGTGCTTCTTAAAGTGTGGGTCCCGCAAGTTCGCGATCAGAGTCCCCTGGCCAGGACCGCCATCAGGAGGTGTATGGCCGGTACTTGTGTGAGGGGCCCAGGCTGCTGAGGAGGTCTGGGATCCAAGCCAGATTGTTTTATTTCAGTTTACTGTATTATTTGCAGTGTAGTGTAGTTTTTAAGGTCGCTGTATCCCCTGTGCACTTCGTACCTTCCTGAGCACGTGTGGAGCACAGTGGTGGAGCACAGCTGCTGGACGTAAAGGTAAGGAGGGGGCTGGGGCTTAGTAGTACTGCCTGGGTTAGAGGACCTAAATTATCAGGAAAGACTGCAAACTTTAAACTTGTTCACTCTTGAAACGCGAAGACTGAGTGGGGACGTGATATTAATGTACAAATTGTTTAATAGTGATGGATTAAACTGTTTACTGTTCACTCAACAAAACAAGAGGCTGCCACTGGGATTTTTTACTGTGAGAGCTATAAAATTGTCGAACTCCCCTCTCCAGACAGTGGTTTCAGCTGAGTGTATGAAACCATTTAGGACCCGTCTAGGTACTTTTGTCAATGAGCAAGACATGCAGAGGTACAGGTAATCTTAGGAGCTCACGCGCACACAACCACGTAGGTTGAACTCTGTGGACCTGTGTCTTCAACCTTAACAACTATGTAATTAATCGTGATGATCCTTTGTTCCCTAAAGTTCTGCCACAAGTGGGCTTTGCCTTTTTTGATGTGGTATTTTGTTCTTTACCCTATACCCTATCAAAGTAAAATCTTGATCTTTGATCACAAATTTCCACTGACCATGTAAGCATACCACCCACATTCGAGTTGGTGTTAATCTGAAGGTCCCCACACACCTTACGATAATCGTACGATAATCGCGGGAAATCCCGCGATCGTACGATTATCGTAAGGTGTGTGGAAGCCGTGCGACCTCTACTACTGTAAGGTCGCACGACTTTAAACTTACGGACATGTTCGATGTTCGGCGGGTTTGTGGCATGTCCGTACGATAACAGCCGTACGGGCCGGTGTGCGCAAGCGCACTGCCCGTTCGGCATTGCGGTCATCGGAAGCCCGCCCCTTGGGGTGTGGCTTGCGATCATCGCAAGTACGATCTGCCTATGCAAGATAGGCAGATCGTACGTTTTTTAAGTACCTTACAACCATCACAAGACAAAAGTCTTGCGATGGTTGTAAGGTGTGTGCCCAGCCTTATACACTCAAAATGTTCTAATTGCTGTAGTAAGGTTTGGTACTTTTTAACTAATTCTAAGGGCTTGGTCTTTTCTTGCACCTGCAATCTGTGTCACAGATGCAGTGTACAGGCTCCATCAATGTTTCCCCCCCCAGTTTTAGGTCTGTTTAGAGGTACTGTTATTTATAACTATAAAAATAATTACATTTGTTTCCCATCAATATATTGTTCACTTATATATGTATCCTTCTGGAAGTGGTTGATCTCCAGTTGCTGTATATTAACCTCCCTGGCGGTCTGATTATTTTATTTTCTCTCCCGTTCATTGAAGGACACAGGGCAACAGATCGGAGATCCTGTATGGTAGGGTATATCGCCACCTGCAGGAGTAGGACGCTAGGCAC